TCCTTTATTGATCTAGGTTCCCCAGGTGCTAGTCATTCAGGTGATTTCCAGTTTTTTCCAGTTACAGGTAATGCGACAATGGGCAATTTTATGTGTGGGGCTCTTTGCGTGGCTAACTTCGTAGGGGAGTCTTGAGAAGAAGATTGCTAACTCAAGGTTTTGAGCATATTTATAGCTGTGGGTTTCTCTTTTGGATTGTGTGTGTGTGTGTGACTGGGAATTGAACCCCGGGCCTTTGCACTGAGATACATTCCTAACCCTTTTTTTATCTTTTGCTTTGAGACAGGTTCTTGTTAAGTTGCCCTAGGTGAGCTCCAGTGAGCTTGTGATCTGCCTGCCCTAGACAATTGGGACTGATAGTGAATGCTGCTTCTGTATTTATTATGCTTTATGTCATTAACTCTCACATCTTTTTACCTTGCCGAGAAGTGGGCTGTTTTGGCCACTTTACGGATGAGGAAAACAAAGCTCAAGGAAGCTAAGAAGGGAGCTATGGATGCAGCTCGGTGGTGAACTTGACAAAGTCCTGTGTTCTATCCCCAGCACTAACTTGGAGTGGAAGAATCAGAAGGCTGCCTAAAAGTGGACACCAAGAAGTGGTAGAGGCTGGATTTTTTTTTTTTTTTTTTTTTTTTTTTTTTGTCTTTTTCCTTTTTATCGGTACTGGGGATCGAACTCACGACTGCCTGCTTGCAAGGCAGGCCCTTATGCTGCTGAGCTAAACCCCCAGCCGCTAGAGGCTGGATTTGAACGCAGGCTGCCACACTGTACGTCACTTCTCTCCCCCAGTATGCTACTTTGCAGGTTTTGGAGGTAAGGGTCTATGATTCAGGTGTTTGTAACATGAATAAAGGATCTGAATCACTTGGGCCTTCTTCAAAGCAAAGACCTTTGTATGACACCCAATGGGAGCTGCATCTAACTTTAGAACTCCCAACATGACCACCTCTTAGAAGGCTCTGCCTTGTCTCCAGCTCCTGTTGTTCAGATACTCATGTCTGGCATCAGCTTGTTAGTTCTAACTGGCTGATCCAGGCCGGGGGACCTGACTCAAGGGCACAAGTTCTGGGGCTGGGCATGCCCAAGACAGGGCATTTAGAGTGGAGCTGGGCCAGTCATGCCCCACGGGGAGAGCCAATTGGGAAACCCTGCATGTTTGAGCCACGTGGTAGAAGCTGCTGAGGTGATATAGAATTGAGCTGTGTAAGCAAATTGTCTGGGTCCAGACCCAGGCTCTGTCATTTACTAGTGTGTGGTCTGGGGTGGATTATTAATTCGTGGAGCCTCAGTTTTATGATCTGTTAAATGGAGATAACAGATCTTAACTCCAGAATTGTTGAGAGGTTTCTGCTGAGGTTTCTATCATTACTGATAAAGAAACAAACTTTGGACAGTATCCTATGAACAGTATCTTCCTTCATGTAGGCCCCATATGGCTACCAGCAGGGGGGCCTCTCCATGGCCAGGAGAAACCTTTTAAGAGAGAATGCTTTGGGGAATTAAGGCAAGCCTCTCCCAGACATGTGACATGAGGTATGAGCTACACCCTTAAAATTCTGCCCATGTCTTGTGACATCAGCCTTCTCTAAGCATTCAAACCACTGGTATGAAACAAATCACCTCCTTCGGAGGAATTTGGTATTTTCCTCAAATACCCCAAGACTTCCTCTGAAGATGGGAGAAGAAGAAAAACCTGAGCAGAGGTGTCCCTGTCAGTTTCAGCTCTTTGAAGGCCAGGCAGTGGTCATCTTCTAAAACAGATTAAGTCAGTTCTCTGTATCCAGGAGTTATACATCTGTGGATTCAACCAGTTTAGGATTAAAAATATTCCAGGGCGGGTGTGGTGACACAACCTGTAATTCCAACACTCTGGGAAGCTGAGGTAGGAAGATCCAAAGTTTGAGTCCAGCCTGGACAACTCAGTGACTATGGTGGATTGGAATCTGATAGTTACCTTAAACACCAGCTGAACTGACTCACTGTGGTACTTAGTGTAGACGGCCCATGTGAGGAAGGCTGCCAGCATAAAAAGGAGACCTGGAACGAAGAGCAGTGTTGTTGTTGTCTGGTGCTGTTGGTTCTACTGTTGCCATGGGTTCTCCTGGAGGAGTTTGTTGAGTTTCTTTCCTGATATGAACTTGGCTGTTCCCATTGTTGGAGGAACTAGGGATCTCATTTTATTTTTTTATTTTTATTTATTTATTTATTTTTGTCTTTTTCCTTTTTATCGGTACCAGGGATCAAACTCACAACTGCCTGCTTGCAGGGCAGGTGCTTATGCCGCTGAGCTAAATCTCCAGCCCCAGGATCTCATTTTAGCTGAGGATGGTTGTGGTACTTTTGGGGGAGCACTGGTCCTTATTTTGAGCGTTGGTTCTTGGCTCCAGTGCAGAACCCTTAACCTACTGGCCCAGATCCTTTACCCTGCTGGGATAAACTTTCTAGCTTTCACCACTGACCTTTGGGCCTTCCTAGTGCTGATCCATGCAACAGACTTGCATGAAGTACTGTTGTGGACTCTACATCTCTGGTTGGACTCGTGGAGGGCATTGGCAAGGGCTCTAGGTCTTCAGCTGGACTCACACAGGACATTGCTGTGGGATCCAGGCCTTCGGCTGGGTTCTCTAGATCTTTAGGGTGTAGACAGATTTCCTGCACTTTCTTTGTATTTGACTCTTTGGGTGGCCATTATAAATAATACTATAAATTATTTGTCCTGTATGTAATCATTTTCCTTGAAAATCCTGACTACAACAGTGATTTAGCAAGACACTGTCTCAAAATAAAATAAATAAAAGGCTCATTTCCAAGGCCCTGGTTTCAAAATCTCATACCGAAAAAAAAAAAAAATTGTAACAGTCTGAACACATACAGACTTTCCCTGTTGTCATTATTCTCTGAAGAATACAGTATAATAATTATCTACATAGCATTCCCATTGTATTAGGTTTGACAAGGCATCCAGAGGGCTCTAAAGTCTATGGGAGCATGTGTCAGGTTCTATGCAAACACTGTGCTGTTTTGTAGCTCAGATACTGAGGGACGAGTGGACATTTTCCTTAAATTAGCATGCAGAACTCAAGGTCCTGAGAGGGGCAAGCAAAGCTAGAGCAGCATCACACTGTGTTCCCTATGCCATCTGTGCCCACCCCACCCCCAGAGCCCCACATCCGCTTTTTCTTTCAAGCATTGGTTGGGTCTCAGAAGCTTTTTCAACCCTTTACTGCATCTCACTCCCACAGGGATGCCGTAGATTTTCACAGCCAAACCCATACATGCCGGAAAGACTTCAAATTGTAGAAGTCATCACTTAGTTCTAGTGCTTCTTCCCTTGGCCTGGTTTCTGGCATTCCTCTGCGACTGCCAAACTGGTAAGGGACAAACGGCTTTGACACCTGGGCAGGTCATGCACACTGTTCCCTTCTCCCCAAATCAGGAGCCAGTTTTTTAGGTAAAGTCTTTGGCCCCCTTACTAACTGCCCTCTAACTGGAAACCTGGATTCCTCAGCCTTTCAAACATCCATTCCTACCTCTGGAAGGTTGGGCCTCTTCTCCCTCCTCTTCAACTACACAAGTCTAGTCTCTCAGTTTTGTTGAAAGCTTTTCACTTGCATTCTTTTGCTCAATACAATCATTTTTCTTGGAGCAGGTTCAGACAAGTACGTGTGCCTCCCCCCCCCCCCGAGATTTTTGTTTCAGGCATACTAAAATACCAGCAATGCAACCATTTCCTGTAAGCTGATTGCTGGATTTCCTCAATGCTTGGCAGCCACGGAGACTTCTTGTCCCAGCTCATGTTCCACAACATTAGATTTGTAGCTTTTAGGTTTTTTTTTTTTTTTGTTTTGTTTTTTTTTTTTTTTGAGACAGGGCCTCACTATGCAGTTTAGGCTGGCCTTGAGTTCACTTTGTAGCCCAGGCTAGTCTCGAACTCACAATGATCCTCCTGCCTCAGCCTCCCGAGTGCTGGGATTACAGATGTGAGCCACGACACCTGGTTTAGATTTGTAGCTTTTATATTACCTATAACCTACTTACTTCTAGAAAGGATTAAGGATGTGGGGCCAAAAATGAGAGCGGTATGAGGGAGTGGTCTCTTCTCGAGAGAAGAGACCCTTGGTCTGTTTCTCCACACCCAGGGCAAAGGTGCATTACTCATGGTCACGAGGTGTCTCCTGCAGAGGGGCAGGTGACAGCGTCCAGAAAGCCAGCAGCCCCGTGGCAGGCACCTTTGGCCAACGTTCTGGGCGGCTGCGGTGGCTCTGCTTTTGTGTCTCCTACCCTGAACCTTTGGGCCCCAAGAGCCTCAGCACCACGGACAGGGAAACTGAGGCGGTAGGCGTGCGGAGGGCGGGTCCCAGTGCAGCCAGTGTGTGGGCCCGCTATGCAGCCTCGAACCAGTTACCTTTTTCCTTTTCAGGCCTCGGCTTCTAAACCCTGCATAGGAATGCCTCCCACCCCCAGATGGGCCAGGCGTGGACGTGGAGCTGGCACTGCGAAATGCCATAAAATCACATCCACGGGGCCCCACACCGAGGTGCCTCGCCCCAAGGTTACGCGGAAGGAGAGAAGCAGCTTCCAAATACCAATATCCTGCCTGCCTCTGCCAGTCCTCGGCTTCTCTAGTTCTGGCCTTCCGACGGGTCCAAGGAAAGTTTCTCTCCCAAAGTCCACCCTCCCGGGGCTCTCTGAGGCACAGCAGCCCTGCGCTAGGAGCTCACCGCCAGGCCCAGCGTCACGCAGAGCAGCACTCCGAGCGTCCCCGCCCCTCGCTCCCCTACAGCATCCCCGGCGACCTGGCCGGCGCCCCGCCCCCTGAGCGCCGCCCCCACCCCTGCACATCTCCCCCTCAGGCGGCCCGGACGCCCGGGGCAAGGAGGGGCGGCACTGCAGCCAATGGAAAGACGGCGTGGGGAGGGCGGCGGCGGTTGTGATGCGCAGGGTGGCGGGCCGCGGCCAATCGGCGGCGAGCGCGGGGGCGGGCTATGACGCGCCGAGCTCCTCGTGCGGCACTCTATAGAGCTGGCGCTCTGGGCCGGCAGTCTTAGCCGCTGGTCGCTCGCCACCGTTGTCGCTTCAGTCTCTTGTGCGCGCCCCCAGCCAACCGCCGCCCACTGCGCGCAGCCCCCCGCCGGCTGGCTGCTCAGCGGACCTGCGAGCGACCCCCGCTCAGTCTCCTGAGGCGGGCCCCCGGCCGGACCCTGAACCTTACCCTCTCGCGCTGCGGCCGCCCGCGTCTCTTCGCCCGCCTGTCCGGCATGAAGACCAAGTTCTGCACCGGGGGCGAGGCGGAGCCCTCGCCACTGGGGCTGCTGCTGAGCTGTAGCGGCGGAAGCGCCGCCCCGGCACCCGGCATGGGACAGCAGCGCGACGCCGCCAGCGACCCGGAGCCCAAGCAGCTGGGCGGCAGGCAGCCGCCGCTCGCTCTGCCCCCGCCGCCGTTGCCGCTACCCCTGCCCGCCCTGCCCCCGCCGGCCGCGGCCGACGAGCAGCCAGAGCTCCGGACGCGGCGCAAGGCCTATCTGTGGTGCAAGGAGTTCCTGCCCGGCGCCTGGAGGGGCCTTCGCGAGGACCAGTTCCACATCAGTGTCATCAGGTCGGTGGCCATGCTGCGCGATGCGCGGTCGGGTCAGGTGACGCGACCGAGCCGGGCCAGGCCGGGTGGGGGACCAGGGCCTGCCCATGCCGTGCTTCCCCGGCCCCGGAGGCATCCAGGCCGAACCCCGCAAAGGCGCCCCGCCGCCGCCCAGAGGCAGGCTCTTAGAAACAAGTCGCTTTCACAAGAAAATGGGTCCCTTCTGGGAGAACAATACCCTTCAGTCACAAAGTCTGTACATGTACAGAAGCTCAAGATGTGTCTAGAAAGTCCCTTTTCGAATGAGGAAAGGAGGTTGTGACTTTTTTTTTTTTTAAATCACTTGGTATCTTGTAATCCTTCTAGTCCAAGATTTGGCCCCTTTCTCCTGACACTTCTGAGTTATTTGATAGTAATTGGTAACATTTGCTCATCTCCTCCGAGTGTTAAGATGTCAGATAGCTGTGTTTCTAGCCAAAGTTGGGAGGCGTGGCTCCAAAAGAAAGAGCGAGGTAGAAAGCCCCACTTTTAAGCTTAAAAATATTTCATCTTAAATCATAAAACTGTGTGCCTACGGGCTGGGGATTTAGCTCAGCGGCATAAACGCCTGCCTGGCAAGCATGAGGTCATGAGTTCGATCCTCCGTACCAAAAAAAAAAAAAAAAAAAAAGTGTGTGTCTGTATGTTGAGACAAGAGTTACTGTCCCCTTGACATCTGTGGCCACTCTGCACCTAGGTAACAAACATTTAGCTTTTAGTGAGTCCGATTTGTACCTTAAAAAACCTATGTAGTCTTTTTGTCCCAGTTTTTTTTTTTTTTTTTTTTCCTTTTTCTTTTTGAGACAGGATCTTGCTATGCTTTCAAACTGGCTTTGGGCTCACTTTATAGCCCTGGGTAGTCTTGAATTTGCAATGATCCTCCTGCCTCAACCTCCCCAAGTCCTGGGATTATAGCACCGCCATGCCCCATTTATCCCAGTTGTCTTTTAATTGGTTAACCAGGTTGAGTGCAAAATGTCTAGTAACGGGCTGGCTGGTTTCTAATCTCCAATTCCCATTTTAGTTATTTTGATTTTCTTTTTCCTTTTCCCCTTCCTCCTTCCTTCTCTCCATCTGTCTGTCTGTCTTTTCCTTGTGCCCAAAGTCTTTGCCACAGCTGCAAATGCAACAAAATTACCTCTTTGGACTTCACTCTTTGTTCTTTAGGTCCCCCTGATGTATTTAAAGGAACCCTTGTTTTTTTATTTTTATGTGGTACCTGGGATTGAATGACCTTGTGCTTGCCAGTCAGGCGCTTATGCCACTGAGCTGAATCCCCAGCCCCTTCTGATGTATTTAGGAGCAGAGTTAAAAAGAAGTTGGGAAGGAGCAGACAAAACCAAAGATGTTTAGATCATCCCTGAATTTCCTAATGACACTTGAATGAGACTTGCTCTAAACTTAAATTCTTTTAGACCTGACTGTTCTTTTTTTTTCTGACCTGACCGTTCTTAATGAGAATAGCAGTAGGCACCATTGTAGGCCATGTACATGTCAGTCTGTAAAATGAGAAACCTAGATAAGTGATTTGTCTGCTGTCAACTATTTGTGGACAGAGCCTGAACTTAGTGGTCTCTTGTGCTGCCTCCTGTTCCGCCAATACACTCACCTATAAAAACATTGGGATGCTCCTGAAGACACCCCCTCCCCCAACCTCCTCATTCTTTCCAAAGAGTGGCTGTCATCAGTTAAACCATTCTGTTTTGTTCAACAAGTCACTAAAATAGCATTGAGAAGTTTTTTTTTTGACCCCATGGAGTTAATAATCTTGGAATACAGTTTTACTTTGGGTCAAAGAACCTTTTAAAATAAGGTATACACTGTAAGCCGAATAGGGAGAAAAGATGATTTAAGACATGGGAATATGCGTGGTGCATAACTTTAAAGGTAGCACATATCTGTGATCCCAGCACTGGAGAGACTGAGGCATAATTGCTGAGAGATTGAGGCTGTCCTGGGCTACAAAGTGATTCAAGGCTAGCCTGAACTACATAGCGAAACCCTGTCTCAAAAAACAAAACACAACAACAACAACAACAAAAAAGCTAAGGACTAGGTTATACCTCGGTGGTAGAACACATCTATAGCATGTCCAGGGTTCAATTCTTGCTAGTAAGGGGGAAAAATAAGGCAATTGAGAGTGGGAGGAGGTGCGGCTGGTTGAAATTCAGTGGTACTTAGTGGGCCGATGCAAGTACTGTGGCTCCAGCTATCACATACTTACACTTCCCCATTCTGTTGCTGGAGCTTCAGGTTTTCAGCTGCATCTGTTACCACCTTAATTCAGTCCACGCAGCCTTTCTCAGATTTAAACCTGTTCCTGCCACCTCACAAAGTTTTGCTCCTACTTTTTTCTCTTTTTCTTATGAGCTGCAGCCCATCCTAAGCCCCAGGATCATGTCTGACTCTGCATTCCCTAGATATCCCTCCCGCACTGTGGTAACTGAGGCCTGGTGAAGGTGCCAACTGGCTGCTATTCCTGTTCATATCCTGTAACAGCAGGTGCCTTTGGGGCTTTGAGCTTCATGTACTTCTCCTCTAGCTCATCCTGTAACCTATTGCCAGGTATTTCTCAAATATTATTCATTATGTCTGGGACTTTTTCTAGGGAAGAAAACTCAAACTTGTTTGCAAGGTCTAAACTTGGGCCTATGCCTGGCTGTTGAGGGGTTCTTTGTTACTGTTTTAAAGTCACACCTTCCACTAAACCCGAGGGACTTAACATGGAGCTAGTTCCACTGAACCTTGCATTTTCTGAATGTGCTCTGTGTTTTCAGTTACCAGGCCTTTCCTTGTGCCTACCGTCTGCTTGGCAGCCTTTCCCCTGGTGTCAGCTTTCAAAGTTCTTCCTTCAAGGCCTAACTCAGAACTAAAATTTTTTCTTTTTTTTTCTTTTTTTTTTGGTCATCTTGTGAATTGAACTCAGGGCTTTCTCACAAAACTACATCCCCAGCCTTTTGTTTATTCTTTACTTTTGAGACAGGGTCTCACCTAAGTTGTCTAGTTCAAGCTTTCTGTCTTTCTGTTTCAGCCTCCTGGAGTGTCAGAATTATGGACATGTGCAACTGTGCCTGGCTGAGACGGAATGAATTTTTTTCCTATCTGTATTTTCTCCTTATCACTTTATAGATACAGCAAGCCTTGATGTTTGTGTGTGTGCTTATTCTTGTTATGTTATTTCTTGTTATGTTAAATTTCTAAAGGTATTTAGAACTTTCTTCTAAAGTTCTAAACATAACTTTCTTGTTATGGTACATAACTTTCTTGTTATGTTAAATTTCTAAAGGTATTTTGTGCTCATTTTTGTATCTCCAAACTAGATGACACTCTGGCCCACCCTGGCACTCTATACAAATGGTAATTTGATCTCTTTGCCACGTAACAACAAGGTGCCTGATTAGCAGGCTGCCTGTCCATGCCCAGATAATCACCACACTGATTTCTCTCCCTATGTGTTTGGGTTTGCTTGGGCATGGTGAGGTAGCTATGTTTTGTTTTTTGCAGTGCTGAGCATTGAACCCAGGGCCTCATGCCTTCTAGGCAGAGGTACTGCTACTGAGCTATACCGCTAACCCCTCTGCCTGTCTATCAGATCAAAGGTTTGTTATTACCATTTTCATTGCTGATTGATAAAACAGTCACAAAGCCTGGCATTGGTGGAGCACACCTGTTTCCCAGGACTCTGGAAGCTGATGCAGGACTGAAAGTTTGAGCACAACCTGGGCAATAGCAAGACTATTTTAAAATAAAAATTTTTTTTTGTCTTTTTCCTTTTTATCAGTACCGGGGATCGAACTCACGACTGCCTGCTTGCAAAATGCCGCTGAGCTAAACCTCCAGCCCCCTAAAATAAAAATTTTAAAGCTGGGTGTGGTCATACACTTCTGTAATCCCAGCACTCGGGAGGCAAAGGCAGGCTGATCATGGTGAGTTTGAGACCAGTCTGGGCTACAAAGTGAGGCTAAGGCCAGCCTGAACCACATAGTGAGACCCTGTCTCAAAAGGACAAAGAAAGAAAGTAATTAAGTGCTGGGGGTATAGTAGAGTGTAAAGGCCATGAGTTCAGTCCCTAGAACCATAAAAAACAAACAAAACAAAACAACCCCCCTGTCAGTTGTGAAGTGAAATGTAGTCGATGTAAAATTTCATGAAGTTTATTTTTTTGGTACTGGAAATTGAACTCATGACCTGTGCTTGCCAGGCATTCGCTGTGCCACTGAGCCATATCCCTGGCCCTAATTCATGAAGTTTAATGAAAAAAAGGTTTAAAAAGTTTCACATATCTTTTGCCACATTATATCGCATGGACAAACCTGAACAAAGAAAAAAATCTCCGTAAGTAGGGTGGTACCATAGGCCCTGTAAAAATCAGTTATACAATTGGGGATTTAGCTCAGTGGCGTAAGCGCCTACCTGGCAAGCGCAAGGTTGTGAGTTCAATCCCTGGCACCAAAAAAAAAAAAAAAATCAATTATACTTATCAGAAGATAGCACCTTGAGGAGTCTTGCAAAGTCCTCAGATATTTTTATAGAATTAAACAGTAAATCTGAAACAGGAAGCAAATTGTGTCTTACAGTGCTATCATAAAATTTTGGGGAAAATCATGCCAAAAATTCCCTGCTTTATTTACTTTTCGTTTTAAGTACGTAGTTGAATTTATAGTATGTACTACAATTTTGTCACATATGAACAGAAATAATTTTTAGTTATTTTTCAAGGTGAAGTTGTAAGACTGATTTACTGTGAAAATTTAGTTCCTTAGAAGGTGACTTAGAAGGGTGACTTGTGGGGCTGGGGATTTAGCTCAGTGGCATAAGCACCTGCCTTGCAAGCAGGCGGTCATGAGTTCAATCCCCGGTACTGATAAAAATGAAAAAGACAAAAAAAAAAAAAAAAAAAAAGAAGGGTGACTTGTTTTTCCTTTTTTTTTGGAACCAGGAATTGAACTCGTGCTTGCCAGGCAGGCATTGTGCCCCTGAGC